CATGAAAAGAACGATGTGTAAGGAGCCGACCTGAAAGGAATGATGCTCTGCTCACATTCTGAATGAATCAAAATGAACAGACGAATGAATGCATGCTGAACTTCAGTGCTTGATTTTAAACTTTGAATTCTAGGGGGCACTTTAAAAAGAAAGAAAAAAAATAGAATAAAACACGAGGTTTTTGCAAACAAATATGAGACTAGGAAAATGAAGGCACTAAGTTTGAAGAGGGCAACCCCAGCGATGAATTGATTCTGTCTCTGTAAGCCATCTTGGGCCCCATATTGGAAGAAAGGAGGAACATAAGTCCAGATACTTAATACATAAATACCAAATACATTCAAGTCATAAGTCTCTGAAGGCTTGGCACTTCTGAGAGAGGTGTCATTTATGGATAACTCTGTGTGGTTCATACAGACATGGAGCAACATCAAATCCATGATGCCAAAGCATCTCCTGTTGAGAAAGTGTTTGAAGGGAGTGAATGTATTTATACCACTGGTCCATTTTCTTTGAATGTGAGATCATTTACGGTACTTATCTACTCTTTGCCTTAGATCAAGGGTTGTCAACCTGATCCCTACCTCCCACTAGTGGGCGTTTCAGGATTCTAGGTGGGCGGTTGGGGGTTCTATGGTACAAGCTGAATCCTCCTTCCATCGAGCACAGGTGGGTGGTAAGGACATTTTACCATCAAGAAAGATGCATTAGTGGGCAGTAGTTATAAAAAGGTTGACTACCCCTGCCTTAGATAAATGCAAACATTATTGAAATAAAACCCTCTGAGGGTGAAATATGTTTGCACACTTAGCAGGCGGCCAGACCTATAGAACATATTAAATATGCAAAAGATTGTGCTGTATCTATGAGAAACTGAATTCAATAAAACTTGCTTCCACCTACACTTTTTTTTTTTTTGTATAGCTGTGTAACTCCCCCCACCCCCCAGCTTATTACAGATAACAACCAAAGATGGACACCAGGGAACTGTTTTGCAACTTGGAACAAGGAAGGTAAACTGTGTGTGTTTTGTCTATGTTAATGGATCATTGATCCCATCATATAAATTAGCAGCCAAGTCCACTATAAAGCATCCATTCAAAACTTTTATTTAATTATGTTATGGAATCAAACACGTTTATTTTAATGAAAGAAAGGTAAGCAGCTAAATCAAGATGGAGTCCGGCATCTGCTATTCCATTACTGTTCAAAACCTGCAACAGATATACTGATTTAATTAATGGTGGGGAGATGAACACTGTAATCTTCTCTGACTTTAATAAATGCAATAGTGACTTGTGATATATATATATATATATATATATATATATTTGCTTTCGTAGATTTTCACGGGTACAGGAATGCAGGTTTTGCAAAACCTGCATATATATATATATATATATATATATATATATATATTACGACAGCTTCTCTCGTTTTGCCCCTAGCAAGAACAATTACATTATATCAGATAAATAGCAAAACGTTCCTTCCTTAAAAATAAGATATGCCATTTTGCTTTCTGCGGGATTATCTTGATGTGGGTAGTTGCAGGTGCTTTCCGAGGCAGAGTAATTGGCAACTTTGCTTTAACAAATATTTATCTTGCTGGCAGGGTTCTCAATTATGAATGAAAGCCTAGTTCAAAGGTATTGCTTGAAGTTGTAGTGCGAGAGGGGGTGGAATTCATACAAGGATGTGATTGGCATTGCAGACTCATGAACAAGAATGAAGCATTGTATTGTGTGATTCATAGCACTTTTACTACATCTCTCACGTTCGCTGCCAAGAAAATGTGGGCTTTTCTTAGGAAAGCGGTCAGATGCTAATGCTTTTTAATTGCATACGTGTCATTTTGGTCCTGATGCGGAGACATGACACCACTCATGCCTATTCCCGAGAAACACGCACGTCTCCCGTAGCAAAAAAAAAAAGGATTTGCAGATGGTACCAAGAGTTACAAAGCCACACACGCTATCAGTAACACACACTATCAGTAACTGTTACAATAGTAATGCGTGCTGGAAAAATCATGCCCATTTTGCACCTGCTTTCAAAGAGAAGGGAAAGCCATATTTCATTAAAGTCAAACACAAGGAGGTGAACAAAAGAACAAAGCCTCGTTGGTGAGTTATATCTTGCCCAAGAGTGTATGTGTGTTTGAAGAGCAGCACTTCTGAGGATAACATCACCAGGGGTCAAATTTTAACTCAAGAGGAAAGTAAACCCAAGGGTGTAGTGTAGGGGGCAGTAGGACCATGGCCCCTTGTGCACAATTTGAGGGGTGTGAACCAACCCCCCCACATGCTGGTGACCCCAGCACAACCCTGCACAGTGCTGCTCTCCATGAGCATTGGGGGGGGGTTCCCACCAAAGACCATGTTGTTTGGCCGGGCTCCCCTCTGCACAGCGGAACAGGAGGCGCAGTGTGGCCCCGGTTGGCTCCAGTGGGGAGGTTGCTCTGGTGGTGAGGGCTGGCATAGCGGGTCTCATTCACCCTCACCTCCTGGTGTGTCCCCTCCGCCCCAGGCACTAGCACCCATGCTACGCTGCTGGCGGGACACCCCCCCTCCCATCTGCATACATGGTGTTTTCCATAGAACAGGTTTAATGGGGTTATGTGTGTGTGGATTTTTCACCCCAGGAGTTGATGCTTAAAATATTGCCAGTTTAGTGCATACATTTAAATGGGGTGCTCACCTAAAGAATCAGACTCAAGGAGACACAGACATTTGAAAGATGTGTACACCAATATGAAACGTGTCTAAACAGGCCAGGGACCTGGTGATGAAGTGGGGGTTTCTGCCAATGTTTTTTCTCTTGTTAAGTGTGACATTGCCTTAATTTGTAGTTTACTTTGGAAACCACTGGCCACCTGTGCCTGTGTCTTTTTTGACCGTGAAATAACACCTGTCTCTGAAATCAGGTACAATATGTGCAGCAGTTTCTCTAATATATATATATATATATATATATGTGTGTGTGTGTGTGTGTGTTATATATGTGTGTGTGTGTGCGCGCGCGTGTGTGTGTATATATATATATTATTTGTATATATGTTTGTGGTGCCTTAAAGGTTAACAAGTTTATTACAGCATAAGCCATAATAAAATTTAACAACAATAAGCATATATTAGGGTTGCCATAATATAAACACATTTCCAGGTCATGTCCTCTTTCTCATGGGTAGAGTTGTCATAGCAATCCATAGAAGTCGGCAAATGTATCCTCATCTTTAAAATATGGCAACCCTATTCAGACTAGCCAACATGGTATAGTGGTTAAGAGCAGTGGACTCGTAATCTGGTGAACCGGGTTTGCTTCCCCGCTCCTCCACATGCAGCTGCTGGGTGACCTTGGGCCAGTCACACTTCTCCGAAGTCTCTCAGCCCCACTCACCTCACAGAGTGTTTGTTGTGGGGGAGGAAGGGAAAGGAGAATGTTAGCCGCTTTGAGACTCCTTAAAGGGAGTGAAAGGCGGGATATCAAATCCAAACTCTTCTTCTTCTTCTATGTATCTATCTGCTTAATAATAATAATGTTATTATTTATACCCTGTCCATCTGGCTGGGTTTTTTATTGTTTTGGAAGATGGACTTGCGTGATACTGCAAATGTATAAACACATGTGGTTTAAAATATAGGGCTGCAGAATTATAGAATTGTAGAGTTGGAAGGAACAACAGGAGTCATCTAGTAGTCCAACCCCCTGTAATGCATGAATATTTTTTTTGCCCAACATGGATCTTGAACCCACACTCCTGAGATTAAGAACCTCATGTTCTAGTGAGGAGCCATCCCAATCAACTCAGTTTTACTCCGAGCAGACCCATTGAAATCAGTAGCCATGGCTGAGGCACATTCATTTCAACGAATGTAAAATTTACTTAATGTCTGAAAGGCAGGCAAATTATGATATGGTTTGAATCAGGGGTAGGCAACCCGGGGGCTGGATGCGGCCCAATTGCCTTCTAAATCTGGCCTGTGGTCATCTGGGAATCAGTGTGTTTTTACGTGAGTAGAATGTGTCCTTTTCTTTAAAATGCACCTCTGGGTTATTTGTGGGGCATAGGAATTCGTTCATTCCCCCCCCCCCCAAAAAAAAATTGTCCGGCCCCCCACATGGTCTGAGGGACGGTGGACCGGCCCACGGCTTAGGAAGGTTGCAGACCCCTGGTCACAAAAATCCTTTTGACGGGGCGCACGCTCTGTGTGAATGGCAGATCCTTCCCCACCGTCACACTACGCATCCTTTGTTCGGTGAATGCAAAACAAATGTCTCCACCCTCTCCGTGAGGATTTCCCAAGTTTCTTTTTTCATCCATTGAAGTGCTCTTCACCGGCCCCGCGAGCCGGGCATGTCCGCGCATGAGGAACAACCTGCGAGGACTACGCTTCCCAGCTTTCCCCGGGGCCGGGGGCGGGGATCGGCTCCGTAGGAGGCGGCTGCAGAAAGGGGGCTTTGTGCTGGGCTGCGCGCTCGTCTGTCTGTCTGGCTCGTTCGTCGGCGGCTGCTGCTGCTGCTGCTGCTGCTGCTGTTCTGCCGTCCTGCGCTTTGTGGGCGCTGCGCTCGCTGCCGCGGTCGAGAGGCGCCGGCGGGGCTCCCGGAGCAGCGGACCTCTCCGCCGGAGGAGCCATGCTGCTTCCCTCAGGCGGGACCGCTCGGAGTGGAAACTGTGCAACATGCAGCAGCTGAGAGCCCGGCTGGCGGCTCGCACCTCTCGGAGAAAAGGATTGCGCCGGGGAGGCGGAGAAGGCAGCATGAGGAGAGAAGACTAGAGGGAGAGAGAGAGACAGACAGATCCGGGCGGCTCGCCTTGCTGTAGCTTTGATTTATTTTTTACCTCAGTTTTGTTGGCGGCGGCGGCGGCGGCTTGGGTTGGGGAGGGGGTCCGCTCGCCGCTTTCCAAAATAACGGAGCGGCGGCGTCGTGGGAGCCGAGAGCCGGCGGCAGCAGCCTCGCCTGGCGTGGCCTGCCTGTGAGAGAGCGGCGGACGGAGCTCCCCCGGCCCCGTCGCCGTCGCCATGGGCAATGCGGGGAGCATGGACTCTCAGCAGACGGACTTCAGGGCGCACAGTGTGCCGCTCAAGCTGCCCATGCCCGAGCCCGCGGAACTGGAGGAGAGGTTCGCCGTCGTGCTGGTGAGTGTGGACGGAGCCCCTTCTTCTTCTTCTCTGACCCCCTAATGGAGACAGAAAGAGATGAGGAGGTGGTGGTGGTAATAGAGGAGGGGGCTTTTCTCGACCCACCCCCTTCCTCGTCCTCCCTCCTCGTTAAAAGGGGACAAAAAAAAAGGTGTGCAAACCCTCCATCCCGTGTGGAGATGGCTCAACTGCGCTTTTCCTCTCCATACGCACGCACACCCCCCTCGAGGGGGGAAATGGGTCGCTCGGAGTTGGGCGGTGGGCGCCCAAGTGCCTGTGGAGCAGCTGATCCATTGTTTGGAAAGGGGGAGCGGGGCAAGGGGCGGCTCTGCGGGCGAGTGAGGGAGAGAGTGAGGGGGCGTGAAGCGGAGGAGGGAGGAGAAAGAAAGAAGTGAATGGGCTTCGCTCGCTCCCTCGCTCGCACGCCCGGCCTTCCCCGTCCCTCAAAGCGGCGAGCGATCGTTCTCCGCCTCCCCCTCCCGCTCCTTCTCCGGTGAAGGGGAAGATGCGACCCCCGGTCTGCTTTTGCAAACTCTGTGATCCCGGAGACAGCGAAAGTTATTGCGGTGCGGCAGGCAGCCATTCGCAGTTGCTGCTTCTGCTCCTAAAGAAAGGTCCCCGTCTCGTTTGCAAGGGGAGGTTGGGGAGAGGGAGAGAACGAGTCGGGAAACCTGGAGAGGGGAAGAGAGGGGGAAAGGCCGTCCTTTCCCGGTAAAAGTTGGGGAAACCCGCACGTTTTGTTGCTGTGGGCTGCTTGTTTGGCTGTGAAATCGGAGAAGACGTCGTTTCCCTCAGCTGGGGGGCTTTTGCAGCCGGATCTGATAAAATGCACTTTCGGTGGGAAGTGAAGTCCCATTGATTTCGGCTAATTTGATTCGCGAGGAAACGTGCGTCAAGGTCGCAACTTTTACTTGAGCCAATGGGTCGCTTTGGGGCGCTGGGAGCGATTAAGTCTTGGCCCGTCCTTTGCCTTTTATTTCTCTTAATGGTTTAATAGAAGCCGCTTCACGGCAGCTGAGTTTCCGCGGCAAGTTGCAAACCTTTTCCGTGAGATGAAGAGGCTGCGCCCCCTCCTCTCTTTTGCTTCAGACTGGCTTTGGGACTTTTAATTCCACTTTATGCACTGTAAAGGAGCTGGAGGGCGATCTTTTTCTCAGAATTATGAATTGATGGTCCAGGTAAACGTGGAGAATTCTGACCTTTACATTATTATTATTTCAAACCTGTGTTTGGCATAATGGTTTCTAAGCAGCATTTCCCTTCCCTTAAGTGCTGAAACAAAGCTTGGTTTTTCATACAGAAGCAGGCAATCAACTTTTCAGTTGCTGGTTTCTGTCTCTGGATTTGACTTCGCAAAAAAAAAAATTCTGCAGGCTATGCCCATGAATATTTAGCAATCCAGCTATCAGTCAAAAGCGATTGTGCATACAGTGATTTAAAGGAGGAAGTGCTCATAGTCTTGAAGTAACCCTGAAAGTTCTCTTAAATTGCTTTGGGAGTAAGTTTGCACATTTTAAAGAAGTAAGGATTTCTCCTTTCAAGCGCTGTGGAAGTTTGCAGAGGGTTTGGGAAGCACGTGCTTTGCTATCATCATCATCATCATCATCATCATCATTCTTGTTTCTTTACCTTTGGCATAATTTATGCTGGAACTCAGCCACTGTAGCAGTGACTTGGGTGTGTGAAATCTGAGTTCACATCCAGCCAGAAGCAATGCTGTGGCTCAAAGGAAGCAGACAGGAATACATTTTCTTTTTGTCTGTACTTGTACCACTCTTACTTTTGCAATTGCATCCTGCTAGATGGAGCCTTAAGTAATAAAACACTTTTTTTAAAAAAAGGTGGCAATTAAACATGCAAGAGAAGTAATTATTTTTTCAGGGGAAGCAGTGGTGAGATCATTTCAGTTATGTCAGGTGCTTTGACCTGCTTGAAAAGTAATCTTCCCCCTTCAAACACACACTTTCCTACCACCTCTATCTATTCTTGTACTAGAACAGGGGTCGGCAAGGCTTACCGCCCATGGAGACCGTCTGTGGGCTGGACCGGCGCAGCATGATGCCAGAAATTGCATCTAAGCATGTCCACGGCGCCGGAAATCACTTATGCGCATGCCCAGACCCCGAAAACCATGCCTGTGCAGAAGTGATTTTCGGCATCTGGCCATGTGCAGAAGTGATTCCTGGTATCTGAGCGTGCGCAGATGCGATTTCTGGTGCCGCTTGGCGAGTCCCTGTGCCACGCTGTGCTGTGCCGGTTTAGCACAGTGCGCAGGGGGCTTGCGGAGTGGGCGGCTCGGTTCAGGGGTGGCTCGTGGGCCGGCAAAACGGTCTTTGTGGCCAGTATCCGGCCCATGGGCTGCACGTTACCAACCCTGTACTTGATGCAGAGGTGGCTTTGCTTATTAATTCCTGAGTGCTGAAGAAAGTCATTGTGATATGTGATCTTAGAACGCTTTGCCACTTACACATCTCTCCAGCAGTGTAGTTTTTGCCTGCCTCATCAATGTCCTCGTGCTTGATTGTAGTGCCTTTGTAAATCTGGATCAACCCGGTAGCATTATTCCTTCTAATATAGTGGACTTGGGTGACTGAGCGCTTGTTCATCATTAGGAAATGAAACAGGGCCACCCAAAAACAAAACTGATCTATTTCATACTCCCAAGGTATAAATAATATATTAAAAAATTAATAAATGCTAATTTAATAATAATAATGATCACAACTGGCTGACATAGAAACTGTGAGCTTTCAGGAGGTACGCAATGCTGCTGAGAGTTGAAGACATCTGACGGCAGCCCTATTTCGGGAAGTTTTTAATGTGTGACATTTTAATGTATTTTTAATCTTTGTTGGAAGCTGCCCAGAGTGGCTGGGGAGACCCAGCCAGATGGGCGGGGTACAAATAAATTATTATTATTATTATTATTTTATTAAGAAGCCTAGACCAAAAGGGGAAAGACCTGGGCAAGTTTGCAGTGTCAATTGTGGGCCACATTCACACCATTTAAAGCACTATGATACCGCTTTAAACAGCCATGCCCCCCCCCCCCGGAATCTGGGAACTGTAGTTTAAGGGTGCTGAGAGTTGTTAGGTCACCCCTGTTTTCCCCGGAGAGTTACAGTTCCTAGAATGGTTTCATTATCCTCTTTCCAGGGAACCCTGGGAGATGTAGCTCTGTGAGATGAATAGTCATCTTCGGACAACTTCTAAACAACATTTTGCAGGATTCTTTGGGAGAAGCAGTGGCTGTTTAAAGTGGTGTGTAGCTTCTTTAAAGGCAGGTGGGGCCAAACAGACAATCTAGTCTAGTATCCTCTTCTCACAGTGGCCATCTAGACACCTGTGGGAAGCCCACAGGCAGGGGTTGAGTGCAAGAGCACTTTCCACACTTGTGTTCTCCGGCAACTAGTGTTCAGAGGCACACTGCCTTCACCTATGCAAGGAAAGGGAAAAGGACACATTTCTTCCTTTCCTGCTTGTAGAACTGCATTCTCCCTCTTGCTATATAGTTACAAAATGCCCAGCCCTCCAGCACTATGTAACACAGCAGAAGGAGGACTGGAGGAGGGTGTGGGGAGAAGTATCCTGTATCCATTTTCAACTTTTGGAAATACTGAGGACTTTTAAAAAAAAATGCAGTTTGACTTTGGATATCTGGGGCTGATTTAAGTGCAAGGGGAGCTGACCCCTACACTGGAATTGCACCTGTTTTGGTTGAATGTAGGTAGAGATGTTTTCAAAGAGAAAACTCCAGGGAGTTAGTGGTAGGGCTCCAGTTGCTTTGAACAATACGAGATGAAGCTACTTATGGCTGAAAAAATTCCACAATACTGTTCACACATCATGGTGCAAACACACACATAGAGGTTGGCAAGAATGCAGTATTTATGGTGAGTGCAGAAATTCATCACAATATAAAATCAGTAGTGAATGCGGTGCTGAAACAATACAACTGTCTTTTCTGTGATGGAATTCATTGGGGAGGGCAGTGGATTCTCCAATTAAAGCTGATACCTGTTTTGATTATTTCTCATTAGACTCACTCAGATCATCACGTGAATAAGCCTGTTTGTGGAAGCACTGATAAACCACAACAGTTCATCAGCTTCCTTCCCCCAGATTCATTTCTCTAACCCGCACCTCTCACAACCGCCTTGCTGATAACAGATAATTCTTCTTCATTCTACCTGGGGCATCTCCAGCAAGGTGATGCTACAGAATCTGTGCAAGTGATGATCGGCAGTAGGAACTGATCTATGTGCACACATTCCATAGCATTGCTGTCCTGTGCAAGAGACCTCCATGTTTGTGTCTTGGGACACATTGGTTTCACATGGTGCATATATCTAGAGCTAGGTCTTGTTATTGTATAGAAGCATTGTGTAATCAGTCTGTGTGATTGGCCACTGTGCGAACAGGATTCTGGCCTTTGGTTTGATCCAGCACAAGGACTCTAGCCCACCTCTTGATCTGAGGGCTTCTGCTTGTCCTGTGCAACTCCTGCTGCATGTGGACATCTACAAACCAATACAGACAAACCAGTACAACATTTACATGTGTTGCATCCCAAGGAAATAGATTCACAGGGACTGGGGTGGTGGGGATAGGACAGAAGTTCAATGTGAAAGTCAAATTCCACTGTTGCCAGCTTGTTGGTTGGCCTGTTAACATGAATTAAGAAGTGCATTCCCTTGCTAAAATGGTTGGGTTGATCTGGATTTTCCCAGCAGAACTCTCCTTAGACAATGTCAGCTTTGTGGGTGAGCTTTAGAATGTTGAATAACCATGAAGCCATCCAGCAGCTTAATTCATTCGTGTTATGATTGAAATGTCAAAGCTCTGGTTGTGTTGGCAAGAAAGGCTGGAGGACCTAAAGTGAAAGCCAATGATAGTACTACCCCAGATTCACCAATCCAACTTGCGTTGATCTTTCGCTTTCCATATTTGTATCTTGGAGTGAGCATCAATGCACCCTTTTCCAAGAGATGTTGTCT